ATTGAAGGGAGTTAGCCGTTAACACTGTTAAATAAATATAATATAAATCATCAAAGGTACATATACAGTGTTTAAATATTACTTAAACACAGTAGGTTTGTTTAGGCATTTTATTACTATTTTAGTTTTGTGCTACACGTACATGGTGCAACACTCTTCAGATAAAATTACCTAATTTTACCTACTGTTGAACCTTTTATTTTTGTTATGTTATTGTTATATTCTGTTGTTAGGGTTGTTCATTCTTAAAGCTCTTGCTTGCTTCGAATACCCCTTTTCCATTTATCGTTGTGTATTGTTACTTAATTATTTTTTCAATTTTGTATTGTCTTGAATTATTTCACGATTTGTATTGTCCTGAGTTCTGATAAATGGAAATAAAATTATTTGAATTTGAATTTGGAAAAAAAAACAAACAAAAATACAAAAACAAAACATACATATATGAATAGAAACTAAGTGTGTGTGTGTTGATCTGTATAGAATCATCAACTTTGGGTCTGTTTATTTAGTGAACTGGTTTCGTATACGTTAGTTGCTGTATGCATAGTTCGCATATCCCCCTTCGTCCTCGTTTTCTTGATATGTGTGTTTGACGTTTTCGTATATGTCAAATGCATTCAGTTGTTCAAGAATCGTTGCATATATAAACTCGTACTGGCCCTATAATAATAATAAATAATAATATTAATAATAATAATAATAATAATAATAATAATAATAATAATATTAATAACAATAATAATAATAACAATGACAATAACAACAATAGCAACAATTGATAATTATAAATTATTATGATAGGCCTAATTAATGTTAATAATGATAATGATAATAATAAAGGGAATTTAGTGAGAGATATATATAGATATAATTAATATCCATTAATTAAGTGTTTTTTAAGCCGGTTAAAAAAAATACATACTAAATGTGATGGCAGGGAGTTCCAAATTTTACCTGAAAATCCTATTGTGCTGGAAATAATTAAGTTTTATGAGCGGTTATGTGAACATTAAAATAATACTAATTTAGTAATTGTGAATGGAGTAATTTATTGATTGACTAATTGATATTTGTTGTTAAGTATGTCCACACTATCATGTTTTATATGACAAAATGTGTGTGATATGTACATATATGGCCAAGATGATGTCATATTACATATCCATATATGGGCACATCACATTTATTTGTCACATAAAAAAAATGATAGTGTGAACAGAGCGTTAGTTTTGATGTTTTATAGTTTAACAAACAGTTTTAATCATATCGACTGTAGAAGCGGTTGGCGCATCGGTTGTGGCTTGGACTCCCAACCTTGAGATCAGGGGTTCGAAACTCGCTTTTGTCCTTGGGCAAGGCACTTTATCTACGTTTGTCTACCCAGGTACCAGGGATGTTGTGGCATTGAATGTACCGCACTAGTAGCGCACGATTAGGTATGCAGGCTCATAGTTACCAAACCGTCTCGCATCGTGCGGGACGGTCCCCCATTTGAAAGTGATATTGGATAAAACATTCATTTTGCAGAAACACATGCGTGATCATAAATTTGTCACGCATTCAGCACTTGTCTATAAGTGATAACGAATTATCACGAATTCAGTGGAAAATGTAATAACAATTTGAAGAAATTTGTTTTATTAACGATATAAAAATGGTCTTGCAGTAACTTGAGTCATTAGAGAGCTTTTATTATCTCATTTGAGAATCAATTCACTGATAAAATTTCTCTTTCTCGATCAAAACCCAGCCAATGATAATGTAATGGTAATGGTTGGAGACTTATATAGCGCATAATACATGGTCTCTATGCGCTCGCTCGCCAACCACGCACTTAGTAGAATATAGGAGGCGCGTGCGGTATTGCGCGTTAATTGTCACAACGAACTGTTGATTATGTGGCTGAAACTTCCCCCTGGACCCCGGCGGGGCCCTAGCGGTCCTGGCCCCCAGTCAACATGGTGTAGTCACGCATTTTGAATATCTCAGGTTGGTAACTAGGCCTATATGCAGGGAGCAGGGAAGGTTGCACTTTGTGTTGGTTTGCCATTATATTATCCAGTGACTAGGGGTAATGACGCTCAGTGCCTTTGATTACTCGTTGGAATTAGCGCTATATAAATATTATTATTATTATTACTATAATAAGGTATATTTCTTTACCTGTGTTTCCACCATACCAGTTCTGTTTCGACGCAGGACGCGGACAGCTTGGAACACATCTACCGTTTGAACTTGCTTCAGGCTTTGTAGGCATGCCAACGTAGCACAGAATGTACCGCATCGACCGACCCCATCCCTGCAATACATCACAAAACATGCAATAACCAACACAATTTTCATTATATTCAATAAGAAATATTTTTAAGAAACTTTTATTAAATTCAGCCACTAGTACACAACGTAAAATAAAGAATAGAATGACTTAATAAAATATCCAACATTTTTATTTAATATTATTTAAAACGTCATTTATTTCAACCACTAGGGCTAAGTTGCAAAATAAATAAAATATTAGGCCTGGGCCTAGCAATAATCATCATAGACATGACAGGCCCGTAGCCAGAATCTACCGAAAGGGGACTCCGGACATAGGGTTCAGAAGGCCCTTGGGCTTGAGTGCTTTAATAAAACGTAAATATATGATACATATTGCAGTTTAAAATAAGGATAAATACTATTACCATTACAAAGGACAGTTTAAACATGATGGAAGAAATCTACACTACTAGTATTTTTTAAAGTACATTGTAAGAGGTTTTCCTGAAGGTGATTTATCAGAACTTCTCTTTCCGCCCCGCAGCCACCCCCCCTTCCCCATGCCCATCATTGCTTACAGGCCTGCATGATCATCATGGATCACCATCATCATCCTCGTCAATGGTCAATGGTTGTGCACTTGTATAGCGCATGCGCATTAACATTCGTCTCAATGCGTTTCCAGGACAACAGAAAAAGAAAAATAACAGAATAAATGGTTGAAACTGAAAAACAGGAGAGTATAGAGGAGATTGTCATAAAAGAATGATTTCAGACGACGTCTAATGATCATCAAATTATGAGAATCTTTAACAGATGGCGGTAGTGAATTCCAGAGTTTGGGCTAACGACAGAAAAGAATCTCCCTCATAAGCTTTCAGATGACAAGTAGCCACATAAAAGATTGTAGATTTAGTGGACTTTTATATTAATTAGCTGAAGGGAGTGTGATAAGTTCCACACCATAAGCATTATCAACAGCATTAACATAATTACAAGGACTAAAATGTTACAATCTATCTCCTTATCACTAGTCCTTTTTTAATCATCCGTATTTACTATAATTTGCTACGTTTGAAGTTTTTGAATGCACATAATTCTTAATTAAATAAGTGCATTAAAAAAACTAAAATTAGGTATTTAGGTACTGTACTTAAAGATGTATTGTCCCTTCAAAAAAAAAATTACAGAAAAAAAATTCATATAAAATGTTTTTTTAATTTAACTTGCTAATTTTGCAGTAACATACAAATTATTAATTTGAGCATATATATTTAAACTACATAATTATAATGAAAATAATAAATATCACGTCAGGTAGGACAAACCTTTGATTTGCATTATTTCTCTTGACGAAAAAAAAGCCATCGGAATAGCATTGCAGTACCAGCTGCTACTTAGGGATCGGACTTACTACTAGCCACCATGTGCAATCTTGGTGGTCGAGGGGATACGGCACCAGGCTAATTATCTGGGTTCAATATTCTTTTCGCAAGCATTCTTTCGCATTTTGGAATGTACTGAGCATTCAGTACTATAACACGTTAGATAGTGCAAACATCGATTCAAAAAATAATAAACACTTCCAGTGACTGGAAGTAGTTCTATAATTTTTCGTTGTAAAAGGATTGTTAAACATTTTCCAAAATACATTAATTTCTATGTCCAAGTTGAAATTTTTTGTGTTACTTCAAAATAGCAAGTGAATTTTAAAAATAATTTTTATGATTTTTTTTCGTATTTTGTATAGGACAATACATCTTTAAAAAAAATGCATAAAAATGAATATATAACTCTTAGGTGATACTAACATGCACTGGACGAGAATAGGTTTGTTTTCACATGATTCTTGGGCTTTAAGCACGGCTGATATCAAGTCCAGTAACGCTCGACAAGATGTTGGAACATCGCTACCTCTGGGCCAGGCGTGAAACTGAAATATCTTTACGGCTTGTGTAGAACCGACATTCTAAAAGTGTTTTAAACTGTAGGTTAATGCTTTACAACAGAAAAAAGCTTGATGTTTTAATAGATTTTGAGGCTTATGCTACCTATAGCAAACTTGTTTTTCGACTTATAGCAGGCTCAATATCACATTTAAAGAATATTTTAAGGGCTGATTATGATACATATTAATATTATGTATTATATTGTCACCGTATTTTTGTAATGTAATCCACTTGATAGTTGATTTGGTTATGCTTTTGGAATTAACGTCTCTCCGTCTTTTTATATGTGAATCGTACCTTTTGGCTGGTTTTGAGACGATTAAATGAAATGATGTATTTCGTGTTTTTGATAGTTGTCGTTTGCTCTAAATTAACATTGTATTATAAAATTCTGATGGGGAAATTAAG